ACCAAAGTAACTACGAGAATTTTAATGATACATCAAGTACAGAAAAATAATTGTTGTCACCTGTATCTTCAAAAATTTCCTCTGTTGTAAGCAGTGTTTTATCTACCTGCCTGTGTTTCACTATGGGGTCTCTGTGGCTGGCTGCAGGTGGTGTACACCCACTCGTGTACCTGGTTTTAAAGAGTCGAGGGATGGCTAAAGCTCTTTCAGCTTTGCTCTGTACTCTGATGAGAACTGTCCCATTCCACCTCATCCATTCTCAAATTGTTCCTCTTTTTTTTTTTGTTTCTTCTCTGTTTCTCCACTGATGGGACCTAGGACTTGAAAGCTTTTTAACCCCAAAACAGATACCACCAAGAAATTATTCTGATTTACTTGTTACCATACAATTCACTTGTTACTTTTACTATAATCAGTGTTGCAGACAACATCTTCATTTTTGCATTTATGTCCAGATTAAAAATTAATAGGTTTGCATTTGTCAAACTGCATGCTCATTAATTTTCTTCGTAGAATTGTCCATTGATCTTATGAATAATGGCTCTGTAGCAATAGCGCTGTGATTATCATCTTTGCTTAGTCTCTGTGCTGTGCTTTTATTTGCAACTTCTTGCAAGATATGAAATCCACTGCAATTCTCATATTGTTCTTCAAGTATCTATTGTTTCTTTTCATAGCTGTATTTGTTACTTTATAGGAAGTTCTATGTATTGCATTGATGAGATTTATCTCTGAGATCTACACCAACTCCTGCTGCAGGTTTCTCTTCTATTATTCTTGGATATCCTGTTATTTCAATTTTATGAGGACATTTTTTATTCATCAATCTGGATTGTGTAATATTGTTTGCTATGCAAACTCTATTTGTTCTTTCAAGTTCCTTGCAATAATAGTCAAGCATTTTGGCCAGGGGAAATCAGTTCTCCGTCAGCACACATCCTTAAAATGGTAAGGATGCTTTCTCCTCCAGAAATAATTTGTCATTTTTCTTGGCCTTTATGTTCTTATCACTCACAGGCTTCACTTTTGCAGAGGTCAGTACTCCTGAAATTTCTGCTATAGAGTTTTATAATTCATTTTCCCTGCTTTGGTCAACTGGAAATAATAAAACACAGCAGGTGTTTCAGAATATCTGTTATCTTTTATGAGGGAGTGGGTTATAGAGCCATGCATCAGGTTAAGGGCGGGTGGGCTTCAGCACTGTGTGACAGATGCTGTAAGGCAGCAGATGAGGATGAAGGAGGCCCGAAGCACATAGTCTGAGAGGAGCTGGGTTTGGGTATGGAATACAGTACTGTCAGTCTTGAGAGATGAAGGGAATTGGCATGCAGAAGGGAGTGGAAGAGGATCAGGACAAGGGGGCAATTGTCTCTGGAGGGTGGTGTGTGTTTCTTCTGCTGTGCTTAATCCACAGTGGAGTTAAACATCATCACCATGCAGTAAATAAGAAACATATTATTAACCTGAGGGCCAGTACTAAGAGAGATTGCCATCACTGATGCAGAAGCCTGGGGAATCTATTCCATTCATTTTACAAATCAGAATTGATCAGGTCCCAGGTTTGTTTGTTTTTTCCAAAGATCCAGTGCCTAAGACTTAACTGCATTTTGATTGTTTTCAGGGCAGTTCTTTACAGCGAATCCATCCGGCTTTCAATGCACATTGTCTTTCACTGTGATTCAGTTCATGTCTACACGAGTAGGCTTAAGCAGTTACAATTCCCGTGCTAGGGCTGTGGGCGAAGGACTGGGCTGCTGAGTAGTCCCTGACCAAGGCTGTGCAAGCTGAACAGGATCTGGAAAACTGCTGGAAATGACGTGGGAAATCATAGAACTTAAAAAGCTGTGAGAATCTGACAGCAGTTACAGACAGCACCATGGGGAATAGCTGGACCTCACAGGTGGTTAAGGCAGAATTATATGAGAAGCAGCCGAAGTCCACAGGTAATTGCACTGGTGCATTAGAGACATTTAAGGGTGCAGCATCTTGCAAGGCCAGCAGCATCCAGCTGACCTGTTAAATAACACCATGTAAAATAGATTTATGATAATCTCACTCATTTTGCCTTCACGTAACAGATGCTGGAAAGTCTCATTATCTCTCCTTACCAGTCCTACATGGGGTGTTTATTTATGTTTCAGTTTGAATCAGAAGCGCAGTTTAGAGGAGAGACTCCTGATCATTCCCAATGACTGGGCCATTACTTACAGTGAGCAGAGATCACGGGTGTAAACTGGAGTCCTCCCCTACGAAACTAAACCAAAGTTGGGCTGCAGGAAGGCTCTCTGACTTCTAATGGGAACTCAGCCTTGTGCAACCAGGCTCCAACTAGCAGGAAGCAAAACCTGCTGAAGTGCTAGAGAAGGGGTCGTGCTGTCATCCTAAACACAAACAGTGTGGATGTCGGGTCCTCAGCACTGACCATTTTGCTGTGCAATTGGGCTGTGCTACTCGCTAATGAAGATGTACAAAGGTGTTGTCTAACTTCACGTGCTCCTGGGAGAGCCCGTTCATCCGTACTGCGCTCAGAAAGCTGTATTAGGTGTAACCTTCCATATCCACGAGTGTCTCCTCAACAGTGTGAGTTATGTTTGTTGTTTTGCTTGTTGGATGCCTGATACCTGACATACAATTAAATGTAAGGCTACATTCAGTCCTAAAATACTCAGTCGTATTCACTGGCTTTGGGAAGCAAAGCTTGATACAGTGCTCACAAGGTCTATGAGTTCTTACTCTTCCATATTTTTCCTGGAGTGATTTAGGTTTCTCTCTATCAACACACACTCTTGTAATAAAAGAACTATTTTTCTGACATTTTACCCTGTTGTGGGAAGAGTTACTGTGTGAAAATTTAGTCTTTAACCCCATGTTTTCCACAAGACAAAGCATCATTGGATATCCTCAGAAAGAAACGCTGAGGAACATGGCCCTAGCCTGCTGTTTCTAACAATTGTAGAAATGACTACTGAGTAGTGTCAGAAAGTATGTGCTGAACCTAGGAGGAAAGTAATAAACCGACGTGTTTTAGGAATTCCCAAGTTTCCTGAGAAAAAAAAATAGAAACGTCATTACTGTTGTTACCAGCATACAAGCATATACATAACTTTCTGTAAGACAGGTCTGTGCTATAAAACCATGTTGCTAATGTCTTAGCTGTGCAAAATCCTCATCAAAATAATAAGCCAAACATTATTTTTTTATTTTTTCTACATTTCAAAAGAAGATTCAATTTATATTTTTTACAGTTTGTTGGTAATCTTCTCCTGAAAGACAACTTTTGGGGCTTTCTGGTGTTGTTTTTTAAGAATCTTAAAAAAGTAATACAAAAGAAACTTTCAGCAATTACTAGGATGTTTCTTTATAACTATTAAAACTTAATTCTGTTGAAATACTTTATGTCAAATTATTCCAGAAGCTGCAATCAAATGTTTTTTTTCCAGAAAACTGAGAAGTACTGTAACATCTCATGATAGACTGTTATATTATGCTCTGGTTCTTATGGACATTTCAATGAGATTTCAGTGATAAACTAAAATGCCAAAGATACTTTAACTGTGGAGATAAAAATACTCTACCATCTGTGCTGCTTATCTTAATCTTTAGTTTTTAGTTGAAAACAATTATGTCAATTTTCAACTTTTTAGAATAAAATCACGGATCACATTTCTTGAGTTGTGATTTTATCATCATCTGCAAAATGTTGACCTATCGTGGAGTCAGATCCAGGGCTCTGGAGCTAAAGGATGTAACCATTGTGCATTCTGTGAAAAATCAGGAAGTTCCTGGGGATCGATCTTCTACTGTAGATAAAAAGAACTGTACACGTATTGATTGAAACATAGCGTTGTGCAAATATTTTTGGTGTCAAGCAATGGTGTAAATTAGGCAAGGCTAAAATAAGTGAAGTTAATGCAGAATTAAATAAGCTAAGTAAGTAAGAATTATCATCTATTCTTATAATTTTTGTATCTTAGATATCTAAGTGTTCATAAAGTATTTTTTTAGTATATACTAAAAAGCTATAACCTCTTAGCCAATTTTAAGCAAATTAGTTTACTTCTTTTTGTGATTATCTTTTCTATCTATAAAATGCAGATATTCATACATATTATCTTCAAAATTACATTTCTCAAAATATTTTTGAAGACTGAGTTTTCAGCTCATCATTTCTTCAGCATTACTTATTGCTGTCTTGTGTAGTAATGACATAAATTTTTCATTATGTTGTCATAGCCAATGCCATTAAGACTATTTTATATCTTTGCTTTTTATGCAGCGGTAACTACTATGGATGTGTATTATAATTTACATTCACTATCTCAAAGCTGTGTATAAGAAAGTGGATTGACATTTCAGAACATTACTCTAACATACAGATTATTAGGGTTATTTTATAGCTGGAAAACTGGAACCCAAAGATTGTCAAGATAAATCTAGGTGAGGTGAATCACCATCTTAATCAATGTACACTAGATTGCATAGGTACTGTATATCAGAACTGGGACTGAAACTCAGACCTCGTGTCTCAAGTGGAAATACTAGGGCATACTTTCCTTTAGCAATACCAAAATTCATAGCCTGCAGATATTCATTAAATAACTTAAGGACTTTAATAAACAATAGCATTTGTTAAAGTGCTTCAAAATGGTTAAATGGATCTTTATTTTATTTTTTTTTCTGAACAGCTAGGATTCAGACAGATTAATGCAGCTTTTCCATTATGGATTTAATATTTCAGTACTCACTTCTGGATTATTTAGCATTTTTTCACTGTGCTGATTAAAATCTGTTGTAGAAGATAATTATGCTGGTTTTATCATTCAAACACTCAAAATGGATTTTTAAATCTTTAAGTGGCTTGTAGTAGACTTTTATTTCTCGAAGGATTTAGGAGTCTGCTTATATTATGTCCTTTCGTCATGTTCTCTGTAAATGCTAAATCAATACAAAATTAGTACATTCCGCGTTCTAAAAACAAAAACCCCACCCTTTTTTCATAGGAGGAAGAACTAAGGAAAAGTGGAGAAGCCAAATACGCGCACTTGAGTGATGAGCTTCACGTATTAATTGAAGTGTTTGCTCCACCTGGGGAGGCGTATTCTCGTATGAGTCATGCCTTGGAAGAAATAAAAAAATTCCTCGTTCCTGTAAGTGGCTTATAGCATTCTTCTGTGACTGGATATGGTTTTGCTGCATTGAATTTGTGCTTTCTTTAAGTACCTTCAGCTAAGGAAAAAAAAAAAGTTCTATTGAACATTCATCTTTCATTTTTTCGTCTCAGAGAGCTGCCAAACAGGCCATTAATTGTCACAGCTGATTGCCTGATATATTTTCTAGATGTTTTATTATTTCCATTTCTCATTGTTTTTTGCTTTCCTTTCTTGGTTTTTGGAGGGAAGGGTGGATTTTTTTTTTTTTTTTGGTTGCAGATATTAGTCATTAGTATGGGAGTATACTTTCAAGATTTTTGAATATTTAAGTCTGTAAAAACATTTTTGTGAGTGCAATTATTTGTCTAAGTAACTTGCTAATGAAGTTAATGAATTTCTTGTGGAACAAACAACTTGAGTAAAACATTCTTCAGACATTTCTGTTCAGGCAGCTCATCATGACTCAGACCACAGTTTAGCAATCCTCCATCAGCTAAGAGAGGACAGAAATGTATTCTAAAGCTGGGAACTTTTCAGTTTGATTAATACTATACTCCTATACTATATCACTTCCTAAAACAGATACATTTTTGTCTATTGATTTTCCATCAAACTCCCTGAAATTTATTTTCTCCACATTTATATGATACTCCATTACATTTTCATACTTAAAATTTGTCCTAGAATTTAAGCATATGCATACTAAATACTAAGTAAAGGTTGCTTTGTGTAGTACTTGAATTACACGAGTTATCATCTGAAGTCTATCCTGAGACTAGTTAGCACTCTAAAATGTTCAGAACTTGGATTCCTTAAAAAAAATATAACGGGAGCTGTTTCTATTTGTGATAAATAAATGAAGTGCAATATCTGTTCATATCTCTCGATAATAACGGAAGGATGCAATGAATCCCTTTTTATTATGAATAATATGAAGCCAAGATAAGAGATGTGCAGGTGAGGCATACACGTATTTGCATGGCAGAACTTAAACATTTTATTTGGTGGGGGCTTCTTGTTGGGGCAAAAGGAGAATACATTACAAGCACAATATTGAAGTACAGTATTTAAAATGTTCAAATTTTTGAGAGTAACTAAACATTTTTTTAAGAATACAAAATAAGTAACTTAAAATCGCTAAAAATAAACAGCTAGATAATTGTTTTAAATAATAAAGTTTATTGGCACCAAATGAGTGCCCAAAAATGAGCTACATTTTGAACAAGTTGACCCTGTCTTTCTGATTCTCCCTTTCCATCCCCTTATTTGCTTCCAGTTTGGGAACACTGGTAATAAAATACTATTTCAAATTCCGGGAAATAACCATGAGACAAGAAAGCATTTTTTTCATGATTTCTGACTTTGTGTTGAACATATAGTACAAGGAAAAAATTAGGTCAGTGTCGTAATGCTGGCAACATAACGTGGAATGACAATATGGCTGCAAGTTAATGGTGAAGATCTGCCAAGCCGTAGCACTGAAAGAAAATTTATAGTTAAGTAACATGTTCCTGAAAAGTCTGGCGTGTTATAGATAAAAATGGTAACAGGGCCAATTACAAAGACTGCCGCTCTCTGTCCTTTGGATAACCCTATTTCCAGTTGTTCGTGACTTTGCCAGACTTGAATTTGTTTCTGTAAGAGGTTCCTGTTTGAAGTTATCTTTGTATGTCCTCTTCATTTTGGAAGAGCTCCTGCGTTATAGCGTGATGCAGTGATGGTGGTACCCGTTCCCATTCCCCCTGGATTTTTAACATCCATTGCATATTCTGTCCAGCCTGAGAAATGTGTTCTGGGTGCGTAAGGGAGAGCGAGCAGTGTGTGATGAGAGTAGTGTTAAAATTTGTGGCATGTGCTGTTGTAAATATTCAGCACCTGCGCAAGCATATATTTTGTGTGACGCATTATTTATTGATAAGGTTTGTATGTATTTTTCAGCACAAGTATAATAGCTACACTGGAGGAAATATAAAAACAGGATCTTTGTTACAAGATTGTGAACTTGCTTGGCAGCAGCAATAATCACTCCAAACAAGTAACAATTGTACTTTATGACTTGTTTGTTAGTTTTATCCCCTCTGCTTCATTTCAGATTTATAACAATTTACAAAGCAATTATTAACTGGCTGGTTACAACATGTGTCAAGGGGTTTATACTCAAAAAGCTTGCACTAGAAAATTTCTTTTTTGTTCCCTACTTACAGCGTATCTTGAATTTGTTTTATGATGTTTTGTTGGTTTTAAGACCTAATTTATTGCAGCAGTGAATACTAGAATTGCATGACAGGGATGAAAGCAGTAGATTCTAACAGTTTTATTTATACCAAATCAAGGATGTAATAAACTATTCAAATGAGTTTTCACATTGCTTATGAAGTTTGTGAAGTTTAAGTGAAATATTGGTCTTGGAAATTACACTGATTGTGTCAGTAAGATGGAAGAATGTGTTTTACACTTTATCCATAAGTTTTAATGAGGCTGAATTTTAAAAACAATGCCTCGAGAATGTAATAATAGAAAAAAAGAAAAATGTAGAATAGGACTGAGAAAAAAAAAAAGAATGTTTATTAACTGGAGCAAAGTTTTAATGAACAAGGACTTCTGATTTAAATGTGATTTCTTAATTTTCACTTTTGACCTTGCCCAATAATAGTATAAAAAAATTTTACTGTTGAAGATTTCCCCTCCAAGTCAGAGGTAGAGTCTAAGTACCGCTATTTACACTGGCTGCTCCACATGTTAACACATTTCAAAGCTGCACGCGGCTCAGCCTTTGGTGGTGCATTGGGATCCCTCCAAAAGGCATTTCAGTGAATGATTGAACCCCCCATGTCTGCAGCCTTCGGCGGTTCGCCGACTGACATGCTTTTAAAGCCAAGCTGCTTCATTTTACTGTCTGCTGCTTCCATTTTGCAAATGGCTTGAGGTCTGCGTGGGAGCTGCCGTCGGGGCGTTGCTGACTGGTGGATAAGATTTATTTCGCAACTGACTTTGCAAGATCTTTTATGGGTTATATGAAAAACTTTGGGTTTTGGGGGGTTCTTATATCCAATTACTAGCTAGATATTGTGCCCCATTTTATTTTGATGTTTACTTTTGCTATGAAAATTTGAGTATAATCGAAATACGACAGATCAAAAACCCCATGATTAAGTAAATAGGGTTAATACCTCAGAGTTTTGAAACACAACTGCCTGGTCTTTTTTTTTTTTTTTGGACAATGTAGTAAAAATAAAAAAATGTGCTCCCCCAAGTTGAGGTTTTAGGATAAAAATCAAATTTGGAAGTGACGTCAACATAATGCAAGTTATCCAGTGTTAGCTATATGGAAAGTACAAACAGTAGGGATGTGTAAGAAGAGGACATGTGTTTTGCAGATTCACCTCTGTGGCCAACACAGATGCGATAAAATCTGTAGGTATCTGACTGCCAAGTATTTCTGACCCCAGACTGCCATGGACCTAAGTCTGGGTGAGGAACCGAAGGCTGATGTTATGTCTCAGTGCCTCAGAACGGGATGCAGGGTCAATGAACTAGAAGGGGAGATGTTTAAAATGGCCAATATGGGGGGCAAAAAGCTTAGAAGCTTTTCAAGCTCTGCTGAATTTAAAAGGTTCATAGCTATTAAATGCTGTGAAACTTTCTTCACTATTAATGAGCAATGAAATGCTACATCATTCTTATCAGATATGGCTATATCATTCTGATTTACATCCAGTCTTACTAATATAATTTCTGACCAAGCTATTGTTTCCATATAGTGAGGGGCTATACTGTCTTCAGGAGTTTTGTGCTGCCTAACACATGCTAAATCTTTTTCTGATAACCATTTTCATCCCTTTAAGCAGAGCATTTTTATTTGACATGGTTAGCATCCCTTGGGACGAGGAGGGAAGCAGATACTGATCATTCATTTTATGTGCAAGTGCTCTGTAATAGGGAGCTATTATGTAGAGGGCAGGTTGCAGCTGCAGTGACATGACAGCTTTAAAAAGATTGTTTACAACTGTGCAGTCAGATGACCAGAAATTGAACCAATTACCACTTTAAGAGCTGCTGTTCAACCTATTTGCATACATTTTCCTAACCACTTGTATCTCCTTTAAATTGAGGCATATTGACATTGCTCAAGGGCTGGGAATAAACATGTGGTCATTTAATGCAGTTCAGTTCATGGACAATCACTCGTGTTTATCAGCCAGTATACCTCAGTATTTTCTTAGGGTGTTTATCAGATCAAATCAGATTTCTTTATTAGGAATTAATGTGATAAGGCAGCAGGTTTTTATGTTGTTGTTGTGAATTCAGGCTAAAATGTCTTCCAGATTTCTTGTAGGTGCCTAAATCTCTTATTGAGTAGTTAACTTCAACCCTTTTATCTCACCTTGCTCTGTACCATTGATATAACTTTCTTAACCAATCATTTAAGAAGAATAAGTGTTCTCACTGATCCAGCTTCCAGCACCAGCTCTTCAGTCTTCCTAACTGAGGCTGGAAAATTACTGAGGAAAAAGAGCCTTTCAGTGAAATAAAAAGTTACTAATTTCATACACAACTGCCTGGTCTTTGTACCAGAATGGTACTATTTGTACCAGAATTATGTATGAAAAAATTGAGATTGAGGGGGAATTGAAAACAAACTTCAATACCAGTTTGTTTCAGTGGGAACAATTAAATCATCTTCCAGTAGAGTTTAATCCCTTGAAGGTCTTTCTCTAGCTAGTGTTTCAAAAGAAATTGTTTTACTTCAAACATACATTTACAGTATATATAGTAACTCATGTATACTACAGACCAAAGTTGCTAATGATATCTTATGCCATGTTGTGCTGCCTCTATTGTAGTATATATAGCATACAGTAACAATTTTTTTTTGTCAAAACACAGTTTTGACTGGTTTATAAGAAGTATATGTACGTATGATGATTAGGGGATTGGAACATCTCTTATATGAGGAAAGGCTGAGGGACTTGGGTCTCTTTAGTCTAGAGAAAAGA